AAAATATTATATATGCTTCCAAATGCTTTTAAATCTTGTTTCAAGTTAATAAAATGTTACAAACGACAAACTATATCTTTTAGACCATTGTTAGCATAGTTGTGATTTCTCTATTATCAAACTTGAACTGCGTCCATCGATTAAGAGTATATAAACTAGATTTTCGCTTTTTGCGACAGTAAGCCTAGCTTACCCTAATAGATAATACCAATCTTAAATTCTCTTATAACCCTTTACACTTCCATTCAATATACATTTGTGGATATTAAAAAACCGCTATTGTGATATTCTCTCTCTCATTCGATTTGTCTCTCCCTTTCCGAGTATACTTTAAAATGAGCTGATTGTGTATCTCTTAGTTAACTAGCTTTCATTCTCATCTCGATGTACCCTGAAATCTATTTGTTTCTGTGTTATGTATGGATTCTGTCATTCAAAACTTATTTTCATGGGGAAATAAAGGGCCAAACTTGACGTTTCTTTGTTTACTATGGTACAATCAATAAAGAAATCATACAAAAGTAAATAAAAACAAAATTATGTAAAATTTGTGATAAAATGAAAGAAAATTAATATAAAATTTTGAATTGTGAGCTTAAAGTTTCAATTTTAATATAAATTTTTTTATATTTATTTTTTACAATACAATTATACATTAATATATCAATTTGCCTATAAGGAAAATATATGGTTTTAAAATGAATTGTAAGTCGATTCTAGTTTTGCATTACATAAGTAAAAGCCAACTTTTTCATTTTCACAACACAGAAGCAGAAGACATGGTGGTTCTTATTTCCTTATTTTGTATATGAAGCATTGTTCATTTTGTGTGGGTTTACGAAAATAAATATTTATTCTATTCATTCGCTTCAATAAATATCAAGAATATTGTACAACAACGTGTCACAAGAGCGAGAAAAGCACAAGAAGTTACTTGTCACCAGGAATACCTTTTTACTGTCATTAATAATCCACCGAATTCATTCAGTCATTTCTGATACAGCAGCAGAAAAGATGCTTTGTGCAGCGCTTAAGTAAAAATCGCTACTTTCAAGTTGTTGCTACAACTCCAAGTTAAGTGCAAACCGGATCACCGGAGGTATGCAGATTCTCCTTTGCCATTGCTAGCAACAAATTTTTTTAAAATATATTCAAAACCCTTTTGTTGCCTCATTTACTTGCAAATTTTCCAGTAACTTAAGAGAATCTGAATCTTTCCACGTCTCACGCGATTCCTTTTCCACTAATCTCGATGTGCCTCTACTGCCAAGTAATCTCATATGAGCAAAGGCACCCTTCCGCATGATGTATATAGTTTCCTCAACATTACTTGGTAATTTGGTAACAATATTTCACTTACTTTTTTTTGGGTTGTTTAGGCAGAATAGATTAGACCTATTGGCGATGAGACGAATATATCGAATAGAGCGATGAGTTTTTCTTTTGTTGATCCTTTGCTTTGATGATATGGACAGCGTAAGATATTGTATGGAAGGATTGATGATAGAGAATTAATCACAGTTTTGGCGAATTAAGAGTATTTACTAGAAAATTTTTTATTTTGGTTCAACTGTTTGTAAGTAAACAATTTTCTTTGGAATTTGTGCTATTTTCAATTTGCGGTTAGTTTCTCTTGTAAATGCAACTCTAAACAAATAATTCTATCTCCCAACGCTAACGCAAAGCGTGAGCTATTTTGCTTACGTCTGATTTGACAGAGTTGAGAGAGCAGTTGTCGCTTCTCTTGTGCAAAACTCGCTAATGAACCCTAACTGACGCCATATATAATCAATGCCCAAATCTTGCATCAGAATTATGAAAGTGACATGATTTAGACATGTCTTATTGGATTTACTTATTCCATTTGTCTCCTCGCTCCTGCTCATAATAGACTCCTTTTCTGAATTGAAGCTATCAATGACAGTTGCTTCGGTCATTGCTATTTAAAAAGCATTTATCAGACAAAATGTCCAAGAATTCTTGCACTATGTCAAAAAAAAAAGAAAACACCTTTGCCTTTGCAAAGGCACGCTTATATTTTTGTGTGTACATCATCGAAAATGGAATATGAAATTCATTTATTATAATGTGTGAAAATATTTACATCTGTACGGGTTCACACATTCAAATGAATATTAAATAAAAATATATGAATAACATATGCAATGGAAAATAAACATAAGCGCACTTTTTACACACTTTTAAATATCAATATGCCAGGACTCAAGATGCAGGTAGACTTTTACTTCTAGATAATATTATGTTGTACAAGAAATATTCACTATAATAAAATCCGTACGGATTAATGCGTGAAATCTTATTATAATAGCAGTTTCCGTTAAAATTAAAGAAAGATTGTTTGGGAAAATCCGCACGAATTAAAACCAATGTTACACTTAACAAGCCTTGCGATAGACGAGTACAAATTTGTTTGAATTGAGGAAAGAAGATTAGATTGAAGAAGGCTGTAAGAAAAATTTTGTTACTTTCCGCCTTTATTGTTAAAAAAAAAAAAAGTTAAATTTCCAAACTCCATAGGCGTGGCTGCGTTTTCAATTCTTACCCAGATCATACACGATTATCCACAAAATATTCTTGCAAACTTTTATCGTTTTATTTGTTGTAGTTTATAAGCAATAAGCAAAAAATCGAGAAAACAATGGTATTTTCCTATATACTATAGACCTATCTTTCGACCGATTTGGCCAATTTTCAATACTTACTTTCGCGTTTTCGTCCAACTAGAAGACAACATCTTAATTTTTGGGGACCACAACTATTTTGACCGGAGACGGACAAACGGACATGCCTAGATCGAGTCAGAATTTGATACTGATCAAGAACACATCGGTAGAATATCAAATGCCTGAAGCTTCCTTCTTATCACTGCCTTTGATAAAGTGAGCGCACATATATCCTTCGGCGATGAATACGAAAAAGATGAGGCCTACATCGAGTCAGAATTTGATACTGACCAAGAGCACATACTTAGAATATCAAATGCGTGAAGCTTCCTTCTTATCGCTAGCTTTGATAAAGCGAGCGCACACACATCCTACGGTGATGAATACATCAAATAATTTTGTTTGTGTTTGTCAGTGACATAGATGATGCTTTTTTTTATTTTACAGATTTCAAGTTTTTCTATTTTTAAGCAAGGTAGTAAGTAAATCTTACTAAGCTATGCTTGCCCACCTCGAACAAAAGCACGATGGATATACAGATTTCTCTTAATTTCCTCGTGATATTATTCCATATTGTAGATTATTTTGCTTCCTTCCTTCGGTATGAATTCGCCAAAGGAAAACAGTTGAAGCCAAAATCAAGTCATCAAACGTTGAGATTTTTTGTTTTTCCAAAGAGTTTGCCTTTCTCCGCCAAGGAATGTTCATATGATTGAGCATGATTCATATGATTGGAGCTGGAATTCTGCCGAAAAATACTTTATATTTTCTGTATTTAATCACTGAGTTAATACAGAATTTTCAACATCAAAGTGTTCACAAAACAACTCTGACGGATCCGCTGATTTCAGATTGTGCATTGATTGCGATGCAGTTGTAAAACATAAGGCGATTATGCGGATAAGAAACTTGTCTACCTGCCTATGCCTTCTATTCAAGTGTATTAATATATCCGCCTGCGCGGCCGAGTAGGCAAGGGATCTCGACGAATATAGTTCAATCGTCGTGGGTTCAAATCTCAAGTGCCGTAGAGTTTTCTGTAAGCCTCTTGCCTTTAGACGCTAGCGCTGCAATCTGATTTTAATTTCAGATTTTCTCTGGCTAGATTAATAATAATAGTGACACGTCTGAGATGCTTCACAACACCTAAGCTGGTTTGAGGTGCAAACTATCAAATAAAGTTCAGCTTTATTGAATAAAATAGTCCGCAATTTGGCTAATTGTGGCCTCATCTTATAATCCAAAAACTAAATACTTTTCATCAAACGGCGAGAATGCTCGCAAAGCGCAAGTAGTCGAAACAAATTAAACGGACACCAACAATAGTTTTCTTGCATATATAACATAAAAGTGGGCCATTATCTATTTTTTTCGGTGTTTTTTTTTTTTTTTTTTTTCTTTGTGTTAAACATTGAAATATATAACAATTCCCATTATGGGTGTAAAAATGTAGAACTGAGTAAGACAGAAGATTGCACAGAGAAGTTTTATATTCGACACATACTATATATCTTAAAGTTAAACAATTCCTTTATTTAAGAGCAACAACAGCAAGAACAATAACAATGAGAATGAGAATACATGCCTGCAATCACTGTGAACAACTAGTTTTCTCTTCTCTCATGCATACACTTTTAAGTACAATTTTAACAACTACACGCACATATATTTTTGTATAAGTTGCAATTGCATCAATTTGTTGTAACACATGTTTGCACTTTCGGAAAACATCATGATTAGGGCCATGAGAACAACATAAGTTCTAACAACAAAAGCTATATCAACAACAGCAACACCAATATAAGAGTGCAAGTGTAGCAACAGCATAAAGCAATTTATACAAAATGTTACTAATTTATTTGCCATGTTAGCAAATGTTCATGTTCTCTAGTTTTGTTGCATACGCGTGCTCACTTACATCTCGTTCTTGTTCGGCCAGTTCAGGCGTATGCAGGCCGCTTGTAATGGCCAATGGTCAATTTTCGGGGGCATATTATTGTATAATTTATCATACATCATCTCTTTTCATCGCCCCCTTTTTTGCCACCTCAAAATTGAATTTTTCTCAATCCCCTCCAGTATTGGTGGCTGTAATAGCTTAGCTAATGCATTTATGATGTGGCAGACAGCTGGGATCTGTGAGTGAAGAGAATGGGAGAAAAGTGTGGTAGAATCTTTTATACAAGTTAACAGCTAACGACAATCACACATTATATCGATTAAATGCATTTATCCTTTGATTTAACTTTCAATGCAGCAATGCTTTATATGGTTCAATTAAAATTCCCTGGTAGTCATATTTTATTTCTTTTTTAGGCACCCCCAACTCTTCCTCAAGCAGTGGTAAAGATTGTAATACGACTAGTTCGAACAGCAGCACTTCTAGCTCAAATCCCACCGGCAGTTGTAATAGTTCGCGGACTTGTCGCACACCTGACTCACCCGAATCAGCACGAGCTATAGCTCCCCGTTCTCCTATGTCTCCGCAACTACATCATTCCTCATTAGCACCTCCGCCACGACCTAACCGCAATGCAAGCGCTTCGCCAATAGTCAATGGTGCAACTACAACTCCGCCTCCTCCTCCCCCCCAATCCACAACACAAACGACTCAAGCAGCTGTTGCAGCAGCTGCTGCTGCAGCAGCTCATGTCGAACAAGCTCGTTTATTGGGTAAAATACGTAAATTTCTTGGTTCTTTAGTGCAATTAGCTCAAGAAGTGCATCCCGAAGTGAGTGATCGCGTTAAAGCCTTGGTTTTATCTCTGGGCAGCGGTGGTATTAGTATCGATGAGTTTCGTTTGGCTTTACAAGAAGCCATAAATTTACCTTTAAGATCGTATGTCATTCCTTTGCTCAAGAATCACATTACTCTCCTGCAAAGAGAAATTGCAGCTTTAGCACGAGCTACTAACCAGGTATGTCCATTTTGAAAGTCCTTAATATCCTAGCTGTAGAAATTTCTATTAACCGATGTTAGAGTACACTACAATATGTAACCACTAACGAGAATTCGGTAATGGAATTTTCACCGTACGGTCCCCCAGCTGAATATAGCGACATTTTTGTGCAAATCGATAGTCAGAGCTCCTCTAACGGTGCAGCCAGCGCTACTAGTTTGGTATTTAAACGACGTCCTTCAGATTCCTTAATGGAGTCTCACGGTCACAACGGTGCTCCACCGCAAGAATGGAGTGACTATATGGCTGCCTATCCACCGCCCAAACGTCTACATGCTCATAACCCTCAGCTAAGTGGAGGGCCACCGAACGAATCTCGGCTACCATTTCCCTCGTCACAGCCCACAATTTTTGATTACTCAACTAGTGGGCCGACAGCCGCTCAATCGGAGGGTTCCTTCAATAGTATAATGGATAAGGTAAATGCCCCGCTTTCATATTTTTTCTATTTAAGTTTTATTTTGAATTAACGTAGACGCATAATCGGGATGAACGGGAAATACGCAATACTACAGCAGCTAACGAAGTCGTAGGACATCGCCCTTTAACGCGCGGCGTCATTCCTACTGCTGCCAGTGGTCCCGGTGGTAGTGGCGGTATGAGCGGCGAAGAGGAATGGAAAAACATACACACCATGCTAAACTGCATTTCTGCTATGGTTGAAAAAACTAAACGAGCCATTACGATACTGCAGCAACGAGGAGTAGAACCGCAACAAACCAATTATGGTGAAGTGACCCCGGCTTCTTTAATCGAATTGAGGCGACAAACTGAAGAAAAGGTAGCCGAATTCAAAAGGAACGCCGAAGAAGCCGTTAATCAGGTAAAATCCAAATAAAACTTTTCGGCTAGTCTGGAAAAACCTTCAAGTTGGAATCGCGTAGGTTAAACGTCAGGCAGTGGTAGAAATTCAAAGAGCCGTGGTAGCCGCTGAGACCCGTGCTGCCGAGGTGATGGCTCAGGAGCGGTTACGTATGGAAAAGTTTTTTGTAGAAATGAGTCGACATTCCGGCAGCGAACGAGAATTAGATAATAAGTCGCCTTCGATTACAGCAGCCAGTCAAAACGTAGGTAGATTATAAAAATTTAAATATATATGTTTTGTTCTTATTTTCACACTGTCTAACTAAAAAGGCCTGTTGGAATTGTGGGCGCAAAGCTACAGAAACATGTTCAGGTTGTAATTTGGCTCGTTACTGTGGGGCTTTCTGTCAACATAAAGACTGGGAGCATCATCATCAGGTAGTATTCTTATATATATATATATACATATATATTAGTTTAAAATGGTAAGTTTCCCTAATATTTCCCCACTTCGTCTTCTTTTTTTCTATTGAAATTCAGATTTGTGGTACAACTCGTACAACAGACCTTTCTACTAAACACGCCTCCCAGGTTATACCATTAACAGCCAATATACGTGGTTCTATTGCAGCTCGATCGCCACCCACACCCTCACAGCCGACAACGGCTCATACGCAAGTTCCACCACAAGCTCAAGCGTCAAGCAGCGTGGTAACGGTTGCACCGCAACCAAGTTCTTTGGTAACCAATGGTATTGGCTCCAAATGACGTATTCGTATGATGAAACCCAAAAAGAAATACATGTGCTAGTCAAATTATACTAATGATAACTTTTACATAATTCTTAATTAATTATTACCCGTAAAAAAGCGCTCTAAACGAATTAACTTAAGAATTTTTAAATTTAAATTTAAAAAAAAATTTTTAATTAATTATTATTATAACCTAAAAGAAAACTGCAGCAAAACCAAAATATAAAACTACTTAATATTAATATTTAAAAATTATTTAAAAAATAAAAAATATTAGATGTGTCTACGGCAAAATATAACAACGTTTTTTCTCTTAACTTAACATCTTCACACCATTTCTCTATACGTCGGGGTTGCAACTCTATGTGTCTCTCGTTACTCTCTACATATATTTACTTTACTTTCATTTTATTCGCTCTCTTTCCACGTTCTTTTCCATTACTTCGACTTTAATTTGCCGCCTTTTTTTTCAATTGTCTACAACTTTCGTTAACGTTGAGCAAGATATATTCATTCACACACTATACACAAGTATGCACAATAATGAAATCCCCCTTTATCTCATCCACTCACTCTCTCTCAATCTCCATCGTTCTCTATATCTCTTTCTGCTTCGTAACATTTAAGTAGAAAATAGAAAATACAAATACAACGTAAAAAATAGAAATAAATAGCTAAAGACAGTGAACTAAATTCGTTTAAGTTTCGCTAGCTACCTTTAAGCACTCACTCACTTCCTACTCCACGCTAAGAAGCATACAAGCTGGGAAGTTAGCAAACTTATTGAAACTGAAAATGATTAATGAAGCAACAAGTGAAACATTTTTGCAAGTCCATTGTCTTTAGTAGAAACAGATTATGAAAAAAGAATAGTATACGCTCGCTATACTTTACTTGGCTTTAATTCCTGTTTCTCATCGCATCAAACCGTGATCAAATCTTGGCAACTTTACGCTTTAACCCTTTTTTGACGGGATAGAAACTGAAAGAAATCAAATAAAATTTTAATCACTAAATTGATTACACTTTTACTGCATGTGTCAGAAGAGGTCAATGATCTTTAAGAAACGAGAATACCGAGTGTACACTTTTCTTATATCATACTTTTTGGCTATTTTTAGTCGATTCTTATTTATCAGCATATGTATGTGGTATGTGGTATGCATTAATGATTGTCGGGAACATTGTGAGATTTGCACATCATGCATATACATTTACGTATACTTGAATGTACACTTATGTTAACTCTTAATATTTGAAAAAATTAAACAAAATGCAACTAATAAATAAAAGTTAATTTAAAAAATTTTTATTTTTCTTTTCTTTTGAACATTTTCATGTAAGTATGCAGAGATAAACAAGTAAGAAAGTTCAAAATGCCATAATGCAAGTTTCTGATGTATTCACGGCTTCCAAACTATTGGAAGCCCTTTGGTTTAGGCCCTTTTTTTGGATTATGGTTATGTTGATTGGTAAGAACGTTTTTACGTTAGGCTTTGATTCATTTTCATTAACTATGGAGGCATTCTCAGACTCATCGCATACACTTTCCCCCTCGAAAGAGTTAAATTGCTTTCGCCAACGTCTACAATGACTTTCAGACGAACATCTCGTATATCTGGTAAGTAACTGTTCTTAGCCTATGTGAATCATGCCTTTTATTAAACTTGATATTTGATCATCCACTTAGAATATAAAAGACACATTTCAAATGGGCCTGTGGCAGTATACATAGAGCAAGTTTGAATTTTTTAAAAATATTTTGCGTCCTTGAGGTTCCTCGCCAAAATCGAGAAAACATCGCTTTTTGGCATCTTATAGTACGTGCTTGTGAAAACTTCGCATCAAATGCAATCAATCTGGTACGCTTATAATATTCGTATGGCAAAAAATTTCATTTTTATTGCATTCTGATGGAAATTGTCATAATAATTGAGATTTGATATATAAATTTATTGCGATAACTTTCGATTACTTAGCTGCCTTTTTCGCACCCAAGTACTTATAGGAGTATGATATATATGAAAAAGAAGACTTTGCATGGAAATAAGGTACAGTTTTTCCCATTTTATGACGAAAATAAAAAAAGAATTCTACTAGACGGAGTACTATGGGCTATTTGATAATCAGAGTTACTCGATTATAACGTTTTAACATGTTATCGATAAATAAGAGATATCAAAACTTTGCTGCCCATGAATCTAGACATCGCAGAACTTATGTTGTGTCTTTGTGTTATTGATAACTGGAAACATTTACAATGGTTGTGATCACTTGGAACAAAGCATTGGTCAATAATTTCCAGGACTGACACCGATATTTCTAGCAAAAAATTGCATACATTTTCAAAAAGTACCAACATTGAAATGACGCCTGCCAAAGTTTCAATGTTACGGGAACTTTAGTGAAGGCTACTCCGATTACTTCCAAAGCAACGGAAAACTTCGAATCTTGTGCGCTAATTAAACACTGCTTCGTCATATGAAAAAATATCATTCAAACTCAGAGCTGGTTTGCTATGTGTGAGGAAGGTCGTACGGACATCAACCAAACTCTCAAAATTGCTCTCGATAATTGAAAAATGAATTCACAATATATAGCGTGAAGACATCAAAAAGCAATTTATTCGCTATTTTAAATAAAAGTTCGGGAATGAAAAAATGCACAGTGCTCAGTCTAACAAAGTGAAAAAACATCAACTGTTTACTATACCAATCGCCAATGGATGACGGTACATTAATTTTGTCAGAAAGTTTTCAATGCCCAGAAGGAAGTTTCGACGACCCCATAAAGTGTATATATTCTAGATAACCGTCTGAATCGATTTCAGCAGATCCATCTGGCTGTCTATCTGTCTCCGTAATATCTGTTCAAAACATTCTCTTGGCCGCAAAAATGAACCTATCTATATCAAATTTGGCAGAAACATTGGAAGTATCTCAAGTCTTCAAAGGGAATTAAAAATGTTTTTTTTTTCTCATTACTCATAAACTACAGCAGATAAATCTACAAAAATATTAACATATCTTCTACGAGTAATGCTGTAGTACCTCTACAAGAATGGAAAATTTGGCCTCATCTACTCAATCGTATGGCGTGTTATAATTTTATCTTTTTCTTCTATACCCTCCAATGCACAGAAGGAGCTTTCAAACAATCCATAAAGCCTATAAGTTTTTAGCCAGTTTCAATTTCGGAATGCATATAAGCGTGTTTATCCGTTGGTCAGTCCATCTGTCCTTCCCGTCCCGCACGCAAAAATTAAGATATCGCTTACAAACCTGCAAAAGGATTTGAAAATGACCCCAGAACGTGCCGACGACCTACACGTCTACGTAACAAATACTTTGAATACCTTTGCTTTCCGTGTTTATTGCAATGATGATGCCATCTGCGAAAACTGAAGCATATTTTGAGGATTTCGATAAATCATTCTGTGAAAAATGCATCGAAATATTAGAGAAGCGTTGGAGTGATTGTATCATTCTTGAAAGAGACGAAGATACGTCGATAAGTAAGATCAAAATTTGCGTAAAAAAATGCTTATTTCTTACTTACTTCCCTGAATTATTGACAGATGTATTACAAAATCTTGATTAGTTAACAATACAGCGGATTTATCCCTATCTACCTGCGTCTGAATGACACTATAATTGGAGTCTACTATAGTCTTTAAATCGTAATAAACTGAAGAGCATGGATAGTAAATTCTAGTTTGCTTGACTGTCTGTTTGTTTGATTGCGACCACGACTTCAAAGTTTGGTTGTAGATATATATATATATATATATATATATATATGTATATATGTATATTTATTTATATAAATATGCTTATATATATATATATATATTTCGGACGAATACATAGAATATGATGGGAGTTGCGCGTCGCAAATTTTCTACTTTCGCTTTATACGGCATTCGCGTTGAGTAGGAAAAAAAAAAAGAAATTGAAACTGAAATTGTATTTTTTGTATTGAAATCTTTATGATAATTTCGGATTTTTTTTTTTCGTCGTATTCGTTTCGTTTTTTAAAGTGTACGCAAATATAAAAAAAAAACAAATTATTTAACATTCATTCATAAATTTGACAACCAAATCAAAGCATCAAATTTTTACTACTTATTGTTAAAATAACAACAAAACGTAGATGAAAATAAAACCTGATTAAATAATAAACTTTTCAAAAATAGATAAAGACGAGAGAAGAAGCACTTCTTTCTTTTTTCTCAACAAACAACTAAAATTTGCAAAAAGAAATATAAAAAAAAGAAAAAAAATGAAAAAACAGAAAAAACTCAAAGACAAAATACTAAACAACAACTACAGCTGAAAATTGAACAATCAACATAATGGCGGATTTTGATTTAAATGTTGACAGCTTAATACAACGCCTGCTGGAAATGAGGAGTTGTCGTACCGGCAAATCAGTACAAACGTCTGAATCGGAAGTGCGTGGTTTGTGTTTGAAATCCCATGAAATATTCCTACAGCAACCCATTCTCCTTGAACTGGACGCTCCTTTAATAATATGCGGTGATATACACGGTCAATATACAGATCTCTTGCGTTTATTCGAATATGGCGGTTTTCCACCGGCACCCAATTACCTCTTCTTAGGCGATTACGTTGATCGAGGCAAGCAATCATTGGAAACTATTTGTCTGCTGTTGGCCTATAAAATTAAATATCCCGAGAATTTCTTTTTGTTACGCGGCAATCACGAATGCGCCAGTATTAATCGTATTTACGGCTTCTATGATGAGTGTAAACGACGTTATAACGTAAAATTATGGAAAACATTCACAGATTGTTTTAATTGTCTGCCGGTGGCTGCTATTATTGATGAAAAAATATTTTGTTGCCATGGCGGTCTGAGTCCCGATTTACATGATATGGAACGTTTAATGCGTCCTACAGATGTACCCGATACCGGTCTATTGTGCGATCTATTATGGAGCGATCCCGACAAGGATGTGCAGGGCTGGGGTGAGAACGATCGCGGCGTTAGTTTTACATTTGGTGCCGATCTTGTATCGAAATTTTTGCATAAACATGAAATGGATCTAATATGCCGTGCTCATCAGGTCGTTGAAGATGGTTATGAATTCTTTGCTCGCCGTCAATTGGTGACTTTATTTTCGGCTCCCAATTATTGGCGGCATGATGACTGTGGATGAAACGTTAATGTTCTCATTCCAGATTCTAAAGCCCTCCGAAAAGAAAGCCAAGTATATGTATAGCGGCATGAATTCATCACGGCCGACAACACCGCAACGTAACGCTCCACCTATAGCAACGAATAAAAAGAAATAATACATCCATCCGCTTCCATTTCCTTAAAAGTTATTAAATTATTATATACAAATTAAATATGATAACATACACAAAAACAGTAATAATAATAAAAATAATAATAATAATAATGATAACAGCAAAATGCATCCAACTAAATTTCAACAAAAACAACAACAAAAATACAAACAAAGAGTTATAAATGTAACTAAATTGAAAAAATGTTGAACAGAAGTTTATAATAATGTGTATATATATATTATATATATATA